AGGCTGGGAGAGAGGAGACCCAGGAGGCCCAGAACTAGAAGCAAATGTGGGTTTGAAGTGTTATTCTCGTCTCCTCTAGGCCAGTCTCTCCTCATTGTTCTCACTGCCTGAAACAGCTATTTTCTAAAGAGTAACTCTCTCCTTGCTGAAACAGAGCTTTCGTCTGACTATTGCATTCCTGTATAGGAATGAGGAAATTGGGAGAGAGGACCAAGTTCCCATGCAGCCACCGCGCTGCCAGAGCAGGTAGACGCCGTGGGCATGTGTGGGTGGCGGCGCCCCTGTCTTCACCATTGTGCTGGTGACTACAATCAGCCTCTTAGAAGATGGTAATAGGATTCTTGTAGAAAGCTACAAAATCATCTGTGGCAGATGGTAGAAGGTTAGGTTCTGATTTTTCTTATTCTACTATTATTTTTCTTGAGGAATGTGCTCATCAACGTCCCGTTTTCTTGTGCTTTATTTGGACAAAGCCACAAATTAATTTTTAATCATTTTTATCTGACCTTCTTTTAGTCATCAATTCAAGGAGCATTATTATCTTTTAGAAACAAAAGTAAGTCATTATCCAGCCTCTTCCCTCTGCCCCTCCTACGCAATTTTTTTTTAACACTGAAAAAATGCTTTAAATTTCTCTGAACCTACGGAGATGATATTTACCATTGCTATGAGTGCCCTGGTGATGTGTGATTTCATTTTCTTATTGGCTGGGGGGCAGGGTTGGGCTATTGTGTTTTGGTTATTTTTTACTCCCTCTCTTGACAGACGTAAAAGCAAAAAATATTATAGGCTCCAACAAAAAGAGGGGCTACCATTGGGGCATGCCCTCAACATGCAAGTGCTATGCTAAACAATGTACTGACATTATCTTATTAAGCCTCACATTAATGCTGTAAGTAAGTACTATTATTACCCTATTTTACAGATAAGGAGACTGAGACTTGTAGAAAGAAACTCGGTGTCCAAGATCAGATGACCAGGATGTGGCAGAACTGCAACTCAAAGCCAGAGAGCTCCACTCCAAAGCCAGTGCAATGAGACGGCAGATTCTTCTGTTTTCCCTGATGAATTCTAGTTGTATTAGTGGTGGTTTCTGGGCTTCAGGGGAGTTTTTTCCTAATTTCAAACTCTTGTTTGGGGCCAGATGTTAAAATGCTCATTTATGGAAAGAGAGCTGGGCATGAGTTATGGAGGCACTGGCCTGACTTTAAACATGCAAGGTAGACCCACCATTTTGCAAATGAAGAAATCAGAGTATGGTGTTTCTGTTAACTATTGCTGCATAGCAAACCACCCTAAAATTTGGTGGCTTAAACCACAAAACCATTTGTATTGCTCCCAATTCTGTGGGGCAAGACTTTGGGCAGAGCCCAGAAGTAGCATTTGGGGATGAATCCATGTGGCATGGGCCAGGCTTGCCTGATTATGACTAGGGCATCTCTCTATGACTAGGGCCTCCCTTGTATTTGGGGTCCTGGGGTTGGCTGCAGGCCCTCTGCCCAGCAGGACAACCTGGACTTTATATGGTGGCACAGGGTGGCAAGAGAGGGAAAATAGAAGCTGCCAAGCCAGTAAGTCTAGGCCTAGAACTGGAATAGCGCCCTTTCTGTCTCATTCTTTGGGTCGAAGCCAGTTATGAGCAGCGTAGTCTCAAGGGGAGGGACACTGACTCTACCCAGTGATGAGAAGAATAGCATGTGAACACAGGGATGGCCTGTTCATTGCCATCTCTGCAGACTGTCACACACAGTGACTTGTAGTGGCAGATAGCCAAGTGTTAAGCTAATATTACAGAAAATCCCACTAAGGCTGCTTTCCCGGAAGGGAAAAGATTCCCTTTAGACATTATGTTGTGTTTGGACTCTCTCAGCCTAACAATTAAACATGGGAGGTATTTTAGCAGGGACAGGGGCTGGCATCACTCATCTTTTCCTGTGGGAGATGAGAGTCTCATGGGCCTATGTGACCTGTCGAAGCCAGTTGGGGGCAGGGGACACCTTCCCTTAATCTAAACAGCCTGCATATTCTCTTTGCCAAGAGAGAAGCCCAGGCAAAGAAAAGGGGGCAAAGGGTGGTCACTCCTCTGAGGACACAGAGGCAATGTGGCCAAGGATGTTACAGAGGCTGCCAAGGTGAGTGGGGAAGAGAAAACTGGCTCCATCCACCTAAAATGATCAGCCCAATCTACCTCTAGTGAAAAACAGACCAATGGCCTCATCAAGAAGAATTTAGTGATAAAGGAATCTCAGGCCTCAACTAGCAGAGCATTTATAATCATTTTATCAAGCTTGTCCACCCACCTGAGCAAAGAGCAAACCACAAATTCAAGGTCCAATGTAAACATGTGTACCTGGGATGGAAAAGCAAGGTGGATTACATCCAGATGAAGAATAATTTAAATCAGAGAATTGTTAGAGTCAGAGGCAGCCTAGGAGATCCAATTTAGTCCAATCCCAAGTTCTGCATGAGAAGACTGAGACCCAGAGAAATGAGGTGCCTGCCAGGTGCCACAGCTCTGTTACTATTGCACTGATAATGAGCACTTAGTAAGCACTGACTAGATTAGGTGTCAGGCGTTCTGCTTGGTGATGAGAATTCAAGGTGGAATAGGACATAGTCCTTGCCTTCAAAGAGCTGACTGTCTAAGGGCGGGGAGAAGGACATGAAAAGCAATGATTCCAGAACAATGTGGAGTTACAGCATTCTGAGGGGACTGTGGGAACCCAGAGTGGTGGCCCTAGGACCAGAGCTCCACTTCTCACCCAGCTCCAGGTCCCTTGCTTCATGTCCATGAGCTCTGAGTAGAAGAAAGTTTGTTTTAACAACAACAACAAAAAAAAAACCCTGCCTACTGAGCTGTTCATCAGAGCTACAGTGTGATTTAAAAGAAAGTGTAGTCTTACAATCTTATGTGCATTAATAAGAAAAAATCCGAACTGCGCCTGGCATTTGGGCAGATCCCAACAGAGCCTTCGCACATCTCACATCACACACAATCTCATGACACACGGCCCCACCACCAGTCCTAAGGACGGCAGCCACCTTTCACCCAGAGCCTCTGACTTCCAACCCCTTCACTGAGCCACTAAATGAGACATATTCTGGCTGGAGCCTCTGGAGAACCAGACCAAGAATGGACTTCGCCACCAGCATGCACAATTGGCCCTATGCCAACTCAGAATACTGGTTAAAAGGTGTGTCCAGATCTAATGAGAGCCTAAGAGGCACCTTTCCACCCGCATGATAGAGAAGCAAGCACAGACCTGGGTGTACTTAAGTCCTCTGAGCCTTAGGTAGCCCATCTGTGCAATGGGAATCATTATCATCACCTAGAGGAGGCCAGCTGTGTGTCAGCTGCTGACTTGAGGGCTTGGTTAGTCCTCACAGCATCCTGTGAGTTACCAGTGATAATGACTCCATTTTACAGATGGAGAAATTGAGGACTGGAGAGCTTAAGTCTCCTTGCCCAAGGCCACCCAACTAGTGAGCAGGAGGGGTGAGATTCAGCCTCAGGTGGACCAGGAAATCGGCACAATTAACGCTCTGCTACAACATTTCCGAGGAGGAACTGAGACTCTCCACACACAGTCAGTCCCCTCTCTTGATTCCACCCCCTTTCCTTGTGTCTCCTGGGTTCCTGACCAGGTGGCCTCCTACTCTCTGGCCTTCTGTGGCTCTTAGGATCTGCCAGGTCCCCCTGTAACCCTCAGCGTCTGCCCCAGGAGACCTGTTTTCTCAGGGCTTCAGAGCCCCCAGAGTCCCACTAACCTCCTCAGGGCAGCTCAGGGCTCTTGGTCCCCCATCCCTCAGCTCCCACACCCCAGCAATACCGCCCTTCCCTTCCAGCCCCCCGGGGAGGCAGTGGAGTGTGATGGCTTTCAGCCCGGTTTTCCTAGGAGAGAGGAGAGGAGGGGGCCTGGAAGGTTCCTTCCTCTGCTTCTGTCCTGGCCAGTTCAGCCAAGAGGGCCACTAGAGAGCAAAAGCATCCAGCACAGCTGACCTTCACCGAGGACTCAGGGCACCAGAAATCTTCCAGGCAAAATCTCCCCTCCTCCTCCCCAGAAACCTGCAGTGAGTGTTGCTCCCCACCCCCTCCCCATTTTATGCACAAAGAACAGTGCCCAATTCCGCCTAACTAGCGAGTGGCAGAAGGGGAATTCAAACCCCTGTCCATCTGCTGCAGCGCCCACGCCCTCTCTATTTCCACACAAGAGGAGAGGTAAAGGGCCAGCGAGTGTTGAGTGGCTCCAAATGTCACCCTTAGCCCAGCAGCGGTAGCCTCACCGGGAGCTTGTTAGAAATACGGACTCTCAGGTCCCTCCCGAGATCTACTGAGTGGGAGACTGTGTTTAAACAAGATCCCAGGGGATTTCAAAGCCCATCAAAGCTTGAGAAGCCTAGGTCTGGGTCCGTAGTTCGCCACTCTGGCTGAACAGTGGAGTCAGCTCGGGAACTTCACAAAATGCAAGTGGTGCCCGGACTCCACCCCTGTGGCTCCGAGTTCATTGGTCTGGACATCAGGAATTTTTACATCTCCCAGTGATTCTGATGGACAGCCACCTCTGAGAAGCGCCAGGCAAGAGAAGGGGAAATCCTGAAGGCAGTGCGGGGGGGAAGTGGCCACCAGCGACTTGCCACCCCTCCCGAAACAGAGCCAGCGGAGGAGGGTGTGACGAGCATCAGGGAGGCGGGGAGACACAGTGACAGGACGGTGACAGTTTGGGTGTCCTTTCCGCAGGTGCGCGCCAGGGGGCGGAGGGACAGGGGTTTCCTCCTTGGGAACTCGGGCTGTCCTGCAGCCAGGGAAGGCCGCGACCTCTGGGGGTCCCTGCCCGCATCCAGCGCCCCTTGCCGAGGGAAGCCGGCTGGGCGGCGGCGTGGCCGGGAGCGGGTGACTCACAGGGCGGGGGCGGCTGGGGGCGGCCGCGGAGCCAACGGCAGCAGCCGCTGGCCCACCCTGCCCCGCAACAGCCAGTGCGGCTCCGGGAGGGAAAGGAGCGAGGCGGCTCCCAGGTGTGGCGCGGCCCTGGGAGGGCGCGTGCGAGCGCTCCTTTGTTTGGTGCGCGCACAGCCCCCGGCCCCAGGCCTGAGCGCCAGCCTTCCCGAGCTGAGTCACGGCTGCAGAGCCCGCGGGCGGCCACACTGCCCCGCCCGGAAGGATGCGGCCCTTTCCTGAAGCTGGCGAGTCAGATGCGGTGGCAGGGACAAAAGCCGGGGGAAGGTGGTTTCTATTCTACAAAGCCCTTTAGGGAAGAGGGAAGTCAGGCCTCCCTCAACCAGTGCGAGTCCGTCACGATGGTCACCCAGGCACTCATGCAGAAAGCCAGCTAGCGGCCGCTAGCCCTGAGGATGCCACCCCCAAGGGACTCATTGCTTTGAGTCACCCTTCCAGGGGCTTGAGGCAAAGCTCCAAGACAGACCTGTAGCAGCATGGCCCAAAAGGTTCCTCTGCTGCCCTAGTCCCATACCTGCCTGAGGTATGGGGATTCAGGCTGAGTCGGCTGACCTGCAGTCATCTGGAAGCCTTGTCAGAAATGCAGATTCTGCAGTTCTGTTCCCAGAGGATGAGATTCAGCAGAACTGGGTAAAGCCATGAAACCTACATTTAATATGTGCCCCTGGGGTTTTTTTCAGCAGGGGGTTGGTACACTTCGTTTTGCTTTTGTAGAAGATCGCATGAACACAGATGTGTTAACGTTAACCACATATGGGTACCACTGAATGGCAGTGAGTTGAGGAATTTGCTCAAGGAGACACAGCTAGCAGTTGGCAGAGGTGGGAGTCAAACCCAGGGTCACCAGGCCCCCAAGTCTGTGTTTCTAAGCACAGGCCAAACCTCTACAGCAGTTCCCTAGAAGCTTCTAAACTCTTCCTTTGTACTTTTGTGTTATCCAATACCACCCGAAATAAGAAGCATCAGCTGACACTCTTCTACCTTTTGATTGTACAGGGATGTTATGGTATGTGGATCTGGATATGTTGTAACTTAAGCCTACCAGTCACTAATAAACATGAACACCCAGAAGGGTCTATTATGTCTAGATGGAAGCCAACTCGAATGGATTTTTATATAATCTCTAGTTTAAAGGCTGCTAGTCTATCAAAAGAGGACAGAGGGAAAAAAAAAAAACTCTGAAAATTAGATTTAAGACAGATTTATCCCTTTGCTTGGCAGATGTCATCTTATCCTGTTAACAGCCCGCAATGAAAAAAGTTAACAAAAAATAAATTACATTTTCAACAATTCGCTTGAAGTGCAGGCACAGATGTGTCTGGGGGCAGACTGCCTTGGCTCAAATCTCAGCATTTCTACTTCCTGAGCTGTGTGAACTTGGGCAAGTTTGTAACCTCTGTGCCTCGGTTTTCCTGTCTGAAAAAATGTAGACATAAATATTTGTCTTTTTTTTTTTTTTTTTTTTTTTTGAGACGGAGTCTCGCTCTGCCGCCCAGGTTGGAGTACAGTGGCCGGATCTCAGCTCACTGCAAGCTCCGCCTCCCAGGTTTACGCCATTCTCCTGCCTCAGTCTCCCGAGTAGCTGGGACTACAGGCGCCCGCCACCTCGCCCAGCTAGTTTTTTGTATTTTTAGTAGAGACGAGGTTTCACCGTGTTAACCAGGATGGTCTCGATCTCCTGACCTCGTGATTCGCCCATCTCGGCCTCCCAAAGTGCTGGGATTACAGGCTTGAGCCACCGCGCCCGGCCAATATTTGTCTTATACTTACTACGTGTTGGATATTATATGAAGAGATTCGCAGGTGTTATTTTACATAATTCGCACTTTACAAAAGAGGAAACTGCAGCACAGGGGGCAAGGTATCAAGGTTGCCCCATCTGGGTTCAGGCCTTCTCCCTCTGAGGCCCCCCACCCCGCCCTTGAATACGCCTCCTCTCTCCTGATTGGCTGTCAGGCATGAGTCGTGAGTGCCCCCATGGACGCTCAGAATGGCTAACATTTTTTTGAGCAGTAACTATGTGTGCCATGAGCTAAACACTTTACTTAAATTCATTCATTTAATTTTTGCTATCACCTCATGAGATGGGAATGATTACTTTCATCTCCAGCTCTCAGGGGAAGAAACGGAAGCATATATATAAAATACATGTTTTTGTTTTTTGTTTGTTTGTTTGTTTTCCAAGACAGAGTCTCACTCTTTCGCCCAGGCTGGAGGGTACTGACATGATCTTGGCTTACTGCAACCTCCACCTCCTGGGTTCAAGTGATTCTCCTGCCTCAGCCTCCTGAGTAGCTGGGATTACAGGCTCCCACCACCACACCCGACTAATTTTTGTATTTTTAATAGAGATGGGGTTTCACCATGTTGGCCAGGCAGGTCTCAAATTCCTGACCTCGTGATCTGCCCGCCTCAGCCTCCCAAAGTACTGGGATTAGAGGCATGAGCCACCGCTCCCAGTCAGAGGCATAGAGATATTGAGAAACTTACCCAAGATCACACTGCCAGGAAGGGACAAAGCCAGAACCTACACGGTGGCAGTCTGGCTCCCGGGCCTCGATACCTAACTGCTATACTGTGCTGCTGATGTTATATAATCACATGTATTAATATATAACAAGGGAGGTGGGCTCCCTACTCTCCTGACCCCTCAGAGCAGTGAGGCTGAGATTTTTCCTTCCTGTTAGCACCCTGACTTTTGGTGCAAAGGCTTTCTTCTATTTATTAACTTAATTTAACTTTACTTTTTTGTGACAGGGTCTCACTCTGTCACTCACGCTGGAGTGCAGTGGCGTGATCTTGGTGCACTGCAACCTCTTCCTCCTAGGCTCAAGCCATCCTCCTACCTCAGCCTCCCAAGTAGCTCAGATTACAGGCATGCACCACCACGCCCAGCTAATTAAAAAAAAAAAATGTAGAGAAGAGGTTTTGCCGTGTTGCCCAGACAGGCCTTGAACTCCTGGGCTCAAGCAATTCACTCGCCTTGACTTCCCAAAGTACTGGGATTATAGGCATGAGACACTGCCTCCAGCCCTATTTATTTTTGAGGGAGTTTATGGCTTTCCTAGCCCTTGAAAATTAGTGTTTATATGGGGCAGTTCAGAGGGGCTTAGGAAAAGCCTTGGGTGCAAGGAAGTATCTGATCCACAGGGTACACGCAGGCAGTCTTGCACAGAGGCACGTTCAGAGCCCAGGAAGTGCCATGAACTAGTGTAAACACTTTACTTGAATTAGTTCAATGTGGCTCCCCAGCCTGGGGCTAAGCAACGCCCCCTGGAGGCAGGGGAATGGTTTGCAAGCATTGGCTCCTCCCGAAGGACTTGGGTTTAGCCTCCACACTGGCCTGGTATCTGGCTGAGAGCCTGACACTGACCCACGTGTGTAGCAACTCTTCTCACACAGACTTGTTCCTCCTTGCCCCTTCTCTCTCCCCTCTCCTCCCCCTCCCCTTTCTACTCTAGTCTCTTGTATCTAACCTTCTCCAAACTGTCTCCTCCCCACCCCATCCCTCCAGGTAACCCTCCTTGTCTTTGAGGCCGGAATATTTGTGGAGGCAGCAGCAGTAGTGTGGGGGAGGGCAGTGAAGTCTCATTCTTGTCTCTTGTCTTTCTAGTCTATTGTTATAATTAAAAAAAAAAACCTCCATACCATGCATCCCTCAAGCCTTTCCTTTTGATTCTTGCTATGGAGTGAATTGTGGCCCCTACTCCCCCCATATTCATATGTTTGAGCTCTAACCTCTGTGTGATGGTGTTTGGAGATGGGGTCTTTGGGAGGTAGTTAGGAGTAGATAAGGTCATGAGGGTAGGGCCCTCATGAAGTAGGTGAGGTCATGAGGGTGGGGCCCTCATGATGGGATTAGTGCCTTTATCAGAATAGATCTCAGAGCTTGGGCGCTGCTTCTCTCTCTCTCCCCTCCCCATCCCTACCCTCCCCTTTCCTTCCCTCCCTTCCTCTCCTCTCCTCTTACTCTCCTGTCTCCTGTCTCTCTTCTTTCTCTTCTCTCTCTCAGAGAAGGAAGCCATCTGCTACCCAAGGGGAGAGCTCTCACCAGACACTGACCTCCTGGCATCTTGATCTTGATTTTGGATTGTCTAGCCTCCAGATCCATGAAAAAATAAATGCCTTTCCTGATGTTTATAATATTTTGTTATGGCAGATCAAGCTCACTAAGACAATGATCAAAGACCTGTAAAACTCTGAACTTCTTGAGACAATAAGGATGCCTCTAACAGACTTGGGAAGAAGTCCTGCACAAAGAGCTGGGGGAAAACGGGAAGAAAAACACACAGAATACTCCTTCAAGGCAGGCACTGGCAGACCTTCCACTGTGCACCAGGTTCTGTGCTAAGCTTCACCTTGGAGTAACCCTGCCTCTGGGGGTGAAGCTATTATATCTGGGTGCATATTGGCCAGCCGACCCTCCAGGCAGCCCTTAATTCTTGCTTCTCAAACTTACTTCCAAGGACGGAGAAAGATGACCACTGCTCTCACCCCACTAAAGAAGCCCCAGCACTTAGCAAGCACCTATGGCCCAGAGCAGACTGTCTCTACTTCATTTTACTCTCCACACCCAGACTTGGACCACACTTGGAAAAGAACCAGCCAGTGCTGGAGGCTGCATATTGTGGATAGCAGGACTCCACTCACATCTCAAAGCTCCTCCCTGCCCATTCCCATGGTCCCTCCAGCCCTTGGGCAATGCTACCAATAGGAAGGAAAAATGAGCTGGATTTCACTTCCTTTGGTGCAGATGTGAATAAACAGAATTGGCCCAAACTTGGGCAGCAGAAGTGGGGGAAAAGAAGAAAGGCAACTGGCCAGGCGCAGTGGCTCACACCTGTAATCCCAGCACTTTGGGAGGCCCAGGCAGGCAGATCACCTGAGGTCAGGAGTTCAAGAGCAACCTGGTCAACATGGTGAAACCAGTCTCTATTAAAAATGTACAAAAATTAGCCAGGCGTGATAGCTACTTGGGAGGCTGAGGCAGGAGAATCTCTTGAACGCGAGAGGTGGAGTTTGCAGTGAGCTGAGATCATGCCACTGCACTCCAGCCTGGGTGACAGAGTGAGACTCTGTCTCAAAAAAAAAAAAAAAAAAAAAAAAGAAGAGAGGCAACCAATACTTATGAAGCCTCTGATAGGTACCAATTGCTTTATTCAAATGCCACCAGTAAACCCCTGAGACGCACAGGCTGGGATTGTTAAGGCAACTTGCCCAAGGTCACCCAACTAGAAAAGGCCAGAGGCAGGTGAAAGGGGAGCTCCAGAACCACCCCAAACACACTGCCTCCCCCCACAGCACTGCCTCCCCGACACTGCCTTCAAGAAAGAGAAATCGAAGGACCTGGACAATTTGCAAGCTGACTGCTCAGCTTCTGGACTCATCCCCTGCATCTGTCAGAAGTCCCTGCAGATGCCCAGCCGCTAAGCCAGTGCTCTCCTCTTGGGCTGCACTTGGAACTGGGTGGACAGTTGTAAAAGGAATACTAGTGCCTGGGCCCACCCCTTCTCCCCACCCCCAGTTCCTCATTTAATGGTCTGAGATTCAGCCTAAGCATTGGGCTTTTAAAGCTTCCCAGGTAACCGTTGCCCTCCGGAATCCATATTCCCTTCATCTGTAAGATGTGGCTGATGATGTCTCCCAAACAGGGTGGTTGTAAGAATGAAGTGTGAGGGGCCTAGGAAGAGAGGCCTGGAAAGAGGGAAGAGGACTGCTCATCGCCGGGCTGAGGCTGCAGCCACCCTGTGCTAGGTGCTGTGCTACAGCCTGGGTCACTCTGCCAGGACCTATAGGGCTCCCTGCTTGGGGCATGGTGCCCCGACCCTCAGCTCATGTCTGCCCAGATCCTTATGGCTGATGGAACCCTTTGTTCCGAGAGATGAGGTTGGCACACTGTGGCCTCAATGTTTGTCGAATAAACAGATGAAGATGTCCTTTGATCTTCACAACAGCTTTGAGAAGCAAAATGAAAAAGGATTCTCCCTTGACCCCATAGAAAGGGAAGTTTGGACTCATGTCAAGGTGCTGTCACTAGCCATGTGTTCCAGAACAGCAGCATAACTTCTCAAAGCCTCTGTCCCTTCATTTGTAAAGCAGGACTTTCTCAAGATCGCCAGGTTTTTTTTTTTTTTTTTTTTTTTTTGAGACGGAGTCTTGCTCTGTCGCCGGGGCTGGAGTACAGTGGCCAGATCTCAGCTCACTGCAAGCTCCGCCTCCCGGGTTTACGCCATTCTCCTGCCTCAGCCTCCCAAGTAGCTGGGACTACAGGCGCCCGTCACCTCGCCCAGCTAGTTTTTTGTATTTTTTTAGTAGAGACGGGGTTTCACCGTGTTAGCCAGGATGGTCTCGATCTCCTGACCTCGTGATCCGCCCGTCTCGGCCTCCCAAAGTGCTGGGATTACAGGCTTGAGCCACCAAGCCCGGCCTATCGCCAGGTTATAGGACTATCCTGAAGAGCTCCTGAGACAACGTAGGGGGGAAACACTTCTATAAATGATTTTTTGATGAAGGAATTGAGTTTACAGGGGTTAAGTGACTTGCCCACAGTCTATCAGTAAATTGTGCAGCCAGAACTTAAACTCAGGACCAGAGAGCTCCTGGGCGTCAAACAAACAAACGAACAAACAAACAACAACAACAACAAAACCCCAAAACACTCAAATAATGCGTGGTTGCAGAGAAGGGATGCAGATATCTGAAGAACAGACCTGGGGCTGAGGTCTGTCCTGAGAGGGAGTTTGTTGAGTTGAACTTTGCAGGAGGGAAGGGCTAGGACTTTGGTAAAGATTTTTTTTGAGACAGGGTCTCACTCTGTCACCCAGGCTGGAGTGCAGTGGCACCATCACAACTCACTGCAGCCTCGACCTCCTGGGCTCAGCCAATCCTCCCACCTCAGGCTCCTGAGTAACTGGGATCACAGGCTCATGCCACCACATACCCAACTAGTTTTTTTTTTTTTTTTTTAGTAGAGGTCTCACTGTGTTGCCTAGGCTGGTCTCAAATTCCTGAGCTCAAGCAATCCTCCTGCCTTGGCCTCCCAAAGTGCTGGGATTACAAACATGAGCCACTGTGCCTGCCAGTGAAGATTTTTTTTTTTGATAGGAGGAGCAGCCTAGGAGAAAATTCAGAGATGAATAAGCAAAATATTTTGTTTGTCCGCAACAGAGAACCTGAGAGGGAAACTAAGAGGGAGGAAGCAGTGGTGGGGGAAGAACATTTGCCATTTCCAGAGGACACTGCTGCCAGGAGAGGGGCTCTCTGCAGCCAGGAGAGCCGTGGAGAGAGGCTTCCCCAGCTCACAGCACAGGAGGAGGGGAGTCAGAGCTGCTCTGCGAGCAAGCTGCCCTGGAGGCACACTAGACAGGGAAGGGGCCGGGCATCACTGACCACCTGTCACGTCACCTGTGATCACAGTAGGATCTGGTGAAGGCCTTATACCCCCTGGTGTGATTGTCATTTTCCACCCATTGTACAGGTGAGGCTCAGAGAGTTAGGTCACTGGCCACTTCCTAGAGTTCCTCCACCCCAGCACACCCTGGTTGCTCCCCTAGTGCATGCTGGGACCCCTCCAGCCCCAGAACCCACATGTCTGCTCTCCCCAATGAATTCCAGGGTAGCTCCATGCAGGGGGCCTGGCAGGCAGGCTGGCATTACCTAATTGCTGTCCGGCTTCTTTTGTCCCTTCATTTTTTCAGGCTGCCTGACTCTAAAAGTCTCAGACAGACAAATGAGACTCCAGCCTTGTTCTGTTCGAGCTCCAGCAAAAGGAAGAGATCACAGGCTGTCGCCTCAATGGAGCAACAGCCAGATCCAAAGGCACAAAGCACTGGGGGCAGCGGATGTCTTTAGCGAACGACAAAGCCCAGGCCAGTGCCCTACTTACGGCTGTGACTTTTCTTCTTGGGCTCTGCCTTGTGCTGTAAGGTGCCTGGGGTCAGCATTGCAAGTGCTAGGACTTGATCATCAGCCAGCCTCCCTGGGGAGATGAGCCCTCGTTAGGGCCAAACCTCAGCATCCTAAAAACCTCTCCTGCCTCAACCAGGCAGGTGTTTCTGGGTTCAGGGGAGAAGAATCTAGTCAGAGGAATGCATACTGCTGCATGGCCTCAAACAGGCCTTCAGGCTTGGGGACTGGAGCTGACTGCCCAAGGCGGAGCGGGTATAGGCTGCCCATCTGTAAAAGCAGCACTCTGCCACTCTAGGCTCCAGCTCCAAGGCTGTGGCACCTGCCTGGGAAAGAAAAGTCCTTGGAGAGGCTGAGCAGATCTGGCCTTATCCTGTCCTTGTCCTGGCTGGTAGGTGGGGTGGATAGAGCGTCCCTGACTCCCTCCTTGAACTGCGAGCATCTCAAGGGCAGGAACTGTGCCCCATAGGACTTGCTATCTCCTGGCACATTAGCATTTACTGGGGCCAAGCAATGTTCTGAGCGTTTTAAGTATACTAATCCACTTAATCCTCACCTCAACCCTAGGAGGTGTTATTCCCATTTTTCAGATAGGGAAACTGACACACAGAAAGATTAGGTTCATAAAGCTCATAAATGGGGAATTGAATCCAGGCAGCCTGGCTCCAGAACCCAAATTATTAGCCATTATTCTGTACTGAATAAGTAAATAATACATGAATATATGGAGAAAGGAATGAACAGCTTGTAGAGAGAATGACGTGAAAGTTCTCTGTTCAAAAGTATTTCCTCTATTAACAGTTTCAGGGCCTGTGAATGTGCTATTGAAATGTACATTCAGTTTTAACTAATGTGCTATTCTCTTCAAAAATGCTCCTAAGAAATTGGGGTGATGGCAATTATCGGCCATGCTCTGTGGCCCCCGGAATGTCTAGGGGAGGCCTAAGTTCTGGGAAGAACTTAAGCTAATACATGAGGAAAAAGAAACAAGGAGTTGGGTGTTTCTCCAGAGAACGCTGCTAGTTAATATTAATGATGTGGCACAGGGACAGGAACACAGGCTGTGAAGCCTCTGAGCTGGGTGTGTCTCTCACTGGCTTTGGGGCCTGGGGCGAGTCACGCGGCCTCCCTGAGCTCCAGTGGCCCCGTCTGCCAGGGAAATGCTGGTCCCTACCTGACAGCTTATGGTTAAATAAGCTATTGTAGTTAATGCATCTGGCCTAGGATAGATGGTCAGTAAATGGTAGCTGCTATTGTTATTACACAAATTATAGGCAAAAAACTCCAGACAGGGCCGGGCGCGGTGGCTCAAGCCTGTAATCCCAGCACTTTGGGAGGCCGAGACGGGCGGATCACGAGGTCAGGAGATCAAGACCATCCTGGCTAACACGGCGAAACCCCGTCTCTACTAAAAAATACAAAAAACTAGCCGGGCGAGGTGGCGGGCGCCTGTAGTCCCAGCTACACGGGAGGCAGAGGCAGGAGAATGGCGTGAACCCGGGAGGCGGAGCTTGCAGTGAGCTGAGATCCGGCCACTGCACTCCAGCCCGGGCGACAGAGCGAGACTCCGTCTCACAAAAAAAAAAAAAAAAAAAAAAAAAAAAAAAAAACTCCAGACAGTAATGATCACCAGTCTGAGCCCCTTCTTAAAGTGATGCTTGCACTGGTGACCCTATTTCTGGTCTCCTGGACACTCCAGTCATGATACTCCAAGGGCAATAGCTTCTTCTCCCAATGTCTTTCCTGGTTGTCTCCATCCCTTCTCCTGCCACTGCCTTGGCCTGGGTTCCCGCTACCTGTCACCAGGACTCAGTCGAGTCTGAGAGATTGAGA